ATCTCGAGATGAAAAATCGATAGAGATGCGTACACACAGAAACACAAACACACGCACAGACAACCTCTCGTCAATATGCGTTTTCTGCATTGCATAGCTGCAAAAAACGCATAAAAATAATCGTAAAACAGGTTTTCTCGCTGGCAGATTCAACAAAGCTTTTAATGAGGTAGTATTTACTGAAACGCAGTTTAGAAAAAATGAATTCAAAACTTTATCTACTTTCAAAATTACTTTTTACTGATAAAACATTACTGAGAAAGCGCCACAAGTGAATGTCTCGTCAGTTTCAGTGTATGATTTCACCGGACGGAAGCGACTGAATGCATAACGGATGTCTTCTCGGAATCTTTCTCGACCCCAAGTCGTGGGATTTAGCTGAAATGGAAAACAAGTGAACTTAACTTTCACGCAAATATGCTAATTTCTATTAAATATATGCTTTATAAACAAACATTTTGCCACTAAAGGCACAAGTGCACCGATAAAACGGCCTACCAATAAAACATTAATATGAGTCCCACTTGAACATAAACCAAAACAGCAAGTTTGATTTCTACAGAAATAAAGCAGAACAGGCAGCTATTAGCAAGATCCTCTGGCTTTCGGCCTTTTCGCCGATTACAATTTAAAAGCTTTCAAGTCAGATGCGCTGGACAGTACAAACTCTTGCAAAAGAAAATCGAATCTACTTCAAGGAGCGAAGGGGTTCTGCTCAACTAACGCAACAGCGACAATGCGGAGTAGACGCCAAATTACTGCTCCGTAAATACAGAATGTCCGGGGCTAAAATTTAGATGGACATTTGAAACTGGACAGCATCGGCAGTTATGTTCACAAAGTCCAGCAGAACAGGGACCCAGTCAGTGGTTGTAGCGCTGGAGGGCCACGAGATAGAGTATGATGGAACTTCCGATGCCCACAGGCCTAGAACAGTCCGTCTTTTGAGTTCACGGTCCAGAAAGTACCTATACGCGGATGAAAAACATGGGTAATGACGAAAACGGGGAAAACAAACGTTTGCTGTGACAAAGAAACAAAACTTTTGGAGTACCGCTTCGTGAGTACCTTTAAAAAATGACAGCTCAGCATTCTATTATGATGCGAGAAGTAAAAGAAGTCAATATAAGCATACTGTTGGTTCTGCTAACTAGTTCGTGAGCAAAACCGCTTAACTTTCACTAACTTCCTCAAACCTCTCTACCGCACATTCTGACAACTTTTGGCATTCCTTTCACACTTCACTACACAATCACGCCCCCGCAGTTGGTCTAACATTCGCCTCTACATTTTAACAACATTACCGAACTTCTCGCAATATGCATATTTGTAGGGCAAGCTGGTATCCTATCTGGCGTCACGTAAAGTATTCATACATGAAGGGTGTGGAAATGAAACGCTACTAAGCGTTTTTGCACAAAAAACATCTTTGACAGGAACTAATCGATGACACAAAATGCTTTGAAGACAACAAAAAAAAAATTTGGTAAAAGATGGGGGAGTCCCTCAGCACTGCTGCTTTACCAGAGACAGCGCAGGGGTCCAATATTAAGAAGCCAGACTTGCGCATCGGATGCAGCAGCGCCAGGCCATTTTGTTCGCAACAGCAAGCATCCGGTTTGTAACCATCTTTTGCCCTATGTATTACCAAGAACCCCTTCATCAAAAAAAAGCGCGAAACGCTTCGAACAGTTCTGTTCAGCGGATGTTCGCTGCCAAAAATGCTTACTGCTTTACGTCTTGGCGTGTGTAAAAGTACTCAGAATGTGTGCCTCTAACGTGAGACGTAGTTCTGGCGAAAGCGGGATTTGAATACGCAAGATCGCATATGAATAGAAAAGATGCTCTAAAAATTCCACCTTGCCCGAAAATAAAACTTCCCCACTTCAAATTTCATGTGTCAGTAAGTGAGATGTGGGCAAAAATGAAAGCTGAGTTTACAATCCCACGGCTGCACACTGACAAGCATCATCCTATATCTTCAGCTTTCCATTTTGTTTCCCAAGACAAAAAATTTCCCATCAAAACTTTCAAGCATCCGTATGTGAAGTTACTGTACTTCAAAACTGAATTTAAAATTTGCATAGTCACACGTGGCCATAGTAAAATTTAAGCTTCCTAATTTTTTTTGTTCCCGAGTTAATAATTTTCCCAACAAAATTTTCACTTAACTGTGCATGAGACTTGGGCGTTTGCGCAAGCTAAATTTGTCAGGGAACATCATTCTAAAGCTTCAACTTCGTAGCTTTTCTAGTTCCAAAACTAGTGAATTTCCCACCAAAACTTTTTATGTGCCAGTATGTGAGGAATAAACGCACAATAATGTTAAAATGGAGCTTGTGGAGTCGCACGTGGGCAGGACACGTCCTTCTAAAATTTCAGTTTGCTAGCTTCCTCGATTCTCAAGTCAGTGATTTCTGGCCAAAACCTTCATGTGTCTGTGAAGGAGAGCTGAATGGATCGCACACGAGTACAAAATATTCTCGTAAAATTTCAGCTTTCTAACTTTTCTGGTCCCGGAGTTGGTAATTCTCTTGCCAAAATCCCCACGTGACCACACGTCAGACCCAGGCGTACGTGAAAGCCGAATTTATCTACTGAGTCGCATGCGCGCGAGGAACATTCTGAAGTTTCAGCTTCCTTTATTATTTAGATCCTAATTT